ATATGATATATATAATTTCAGATTAGGAAGGGAAGGAGATAGGGATATAGAATGAGTGTGAGCAAGGGAGAGAGAGAAAGAAAGAAAAAGAGACAATTAAAGCTTTCAAAACTTACATAGAAGATGAATAGAATCTTCAGGTACATGTAATTGATTAATATTATTAATATTATATCACTGTAAGTTCATCTCTTCGTATATCTCATCTTTGCGTTTATTTTGATTAATAAAAAAGTTTTCAAAAATATGTAAGTATAAAATGATTCGTTATATATTGCTGTTTATAGAGTAATAGTGAAAAAATAACTTAAAATTTTGATTACATCCAAATGTTAAGCAAAAAAAAACTATGACCGTTGGATGTAAAGATCCTTATTTTTAATATAGTTTTTGGTTTTACTTTATTTAATATAGTTTTGAAACAAATATGGATCTTCGTTTTTAGTTTTTTTATTGGTTGATCGTATGTTTCAAATTGTTGTTATATTTATGTTTGGTTTCAAAATATATGTTCGGTTATAAATTTAATAATTTAACTAATATAATAAATACGTTCGCACAAGTGCGAGCTAAACAACTAATTAGTAATAAATAGAATATCCAAACAAAAACATGTTTTTTCTTGGCTATTTCCCTAAGTTAATTAGTTTTTTTTTATCCCATGAAAATCTCCACCATTTTTTTCGTTTTAATTTAAAAATGAAAATATCTATATTAGTATTTGCGAAGTGAATTCGTCTGTGGTTTAACGCACAATTTTTTGTGTCGTTTTGATTAATAAAATTCTGATGATTTGATTGGTTGATAATTGTTATAATTTGATTGGTTGAATTAGTTAATTTTAAATCATTAAAATCGATATTAGTTGCTTTAAAAATAGAAAACTTGCACAATTTTTTGTGTCGTTTTGATTAATGAAATTCTGATGATTTGATTGGTTGATAATTGTTATAATTTGATTGGTTGGATTAGTTAATTTTAAATCATTAAAATCGACATTAGTTGCTTTAAAAATGGAAAACTTCTTTAATTCATATAAAAAGGGTATGGGCCATAATCTCTTCTCTCGAATAACTTGGCCCAAATTTCAAACCCAAAAAAATTATACATACCTTCCAATACGTCGTTTGTGCTGAATGAGATGGTAGCTGTGTTGGTTAAGTGCTTTGTCCATTTGTCAAAGGCTCACGGGTTCGAATCCTGTGATTCATTTTTTTTTTGGTTTTAATTGTTAGAATTTAGTTATAATTCGATTTTTGGAAATATTTTGTATTTATTAAATATTTTATAAAAGGGAATATTCCATAATTTTTTTTTTATTATCTAGAATGGAATCTTTACATTTTTATTATAGATAACTACGTAATTCATGGGAAGATAAAATCGCATATAGATCAATAATTACATTTTAGTATTTTTCACAAGAAAATAAACCCTAGGTTGTTTAGACGTATAAATATGAGCGTTTTCAACCAAACTTCTCATAATTTACGCATTAGTTTTTCTATTAGGGTTCCGTGATTATTTTGCTAGGGTTTTTATAATAGGATTAACTTTTTGGATCTCTTTAGAAAAGATTCAGCATGTTTGTCTATTTGCATGCAAAGCTAACAATGTGTTCGTCTAAGTACAGCTTTGATCATCCATCTAAAGTCATCATCACTTGGGAAGTTCCGTCTACTGATTCTGGTATATATATATAACTATTATCAAATTTAATAATAGTATGTATGCTCTCAACTTTTTTAGATGAATTCTAAAAATTTATACGACTATAGGTTTTGATAACCAGGCTTATGCTCGCGGGTTAAAGTCTGTGTTGAAATCGCATCGTCAGAATATGGATAACAAAGACATGACTGATTATCGTTACGTGACTCCATACGTTTTCGTGTATATCACCAAAAAAAAAGGTTGTTGAACCTCTTTAGGTTATTCATTCAATTTATAATACTTATTAGTAGTTGTTTGTATTTGTAGGTTATCCATGCAAGCTACTTATCGATTCTGCTATCGATGAATGGACCTTACGGACATATAATCCTGTTATCGAAGGTAGTCCTGTCTATTAATCTTACAGTTTTTACCTTTTGTAATGCTATATCTTAGTCTTTCAGATGCATACCCTTATTATATATTAATCTATGAACGTTTTCAATCTATATGTAGATATTGATTCGTATCATATATCTATTCTTGATCACGAGCTTTTTATCAAAGGAGGTATTTCTGCTCTGAATGTAATATATTTTTGTTAATGATGTATATTAAGTATTTATGTTTGTTCTAATGTTTGTTTTGTGCATTTAGGTTCTGATCGTGTTAATACGAGTGATCATGCTCAGAAGACTTTTCTATGGGATTTTGCGAGGAATGCTTGGGTTATGAATAAAGAATCTAATGGTTTCAATTCTTTGTTTTTTTGTTTTGAACATTGTTTTTTTTTTAAGAATACTAATTACACCGTTTTTATATATATTTATCTATGCAGAAGATAGTGACTCTGATGATACCAAGGTTTTATCGGGTCGTGGTACTGATGATGATTATGGTTTTGAGGATTATATGGGGTCTGATTCAGAGACGGGTGAAGATACTGATAATATGGACCAAACAGATGAATATGATTCTGAGGATGATTTTATTGACGACGATGAATCTTGTGAAGAATCTGATGGTTCAAGTGATAACTCAGAAGATGATAGCGGTGATGACGAAGATGAAGATGGTGATGATGCCGATTCAACTGATGATAATGAAAATGATGATGAAGATGTTATGTTGGATGATGAGACTGATATTGACGATGATAGTGAAGATCAGCGAAACGTCGAACTGAGTGATATACTCATCGAAAAGAATATTAGTATATCTGGACACCAGGATTCGGTGTGTACTTATACAGTTTCTCTTGGTTCAATGTGTTTTGGTGGGTGTGTTTCACGTTTGAGTCCTTCCAAAGATGGTTGTACTATCTTTGTTAAGGTTTTACAAACGTGGGTGCATATGCTAATTTCGAAACGTTCTTCCATGGAGCTCATATTGTTGGATGAACAGGTATTTATTGTACTATTACACAAAAATATTCTAAATTTTTGTCGGTGTCTAATTGACTGTTTTATTCACAGGGTGTAAAGATTCAGGCCAGTAGATGTGAAAATGCCTATTTTGACTTCGTTGATTTTCAAAGGATATTGGATCGTGCCCATGATGATGACTATTTAGTTGGTGTGTTTATTTTCGATTTAGTTATTGAATTTCATTATTATTATCTTACTGATGTTAACATTGTTTAATTTTTGTTGTTTATGAAGATTTGATAGGTCGTGTCTTAAATGTAAGTCGATCTGGGACGTCCTGTGGTTTACTTACTGGGGAACATTCTTTTCCTTCATATGGCAGTCTATGTAATGATATATGTGATTCCGAGATATGGGGTTCATATTCAACCGTCACGTTCTGTCTTAGAGATAAACGGTACTGTCTGCTGAATGTTTTAAACTGTATAATGTCGTTTTAATTATTCTATCCATCTGAATATGTGTGGTATGTTTTAATTTAGTGGTGTTGATTTGAGTTGTGAATTGTTCGGTGAGATGGCGAAAAACTTTTATGAATTGTTCGGTGAGATGGCGAAAAGAACCTCATCAGAATCATTACTAGGTGATAAAATGACATATAATTGTTATGATTATTAATATTTATTTTATTGTGATAATAATTATGATACTAGCCTTTTTAGAGGCTTAGACATAGAAATTTTTTTTCTGAAGGAATATTTATTAGATTTTATTTTGTTTATTATATAAAGTACATTTTTTTATATTTGATTAATATTAATGGTATAATTTCATTTTATTGTTGTAAGTAAGTGTTGTTCAACTTAAAAAATGATATATACCGAAAGTTTGATAAAAAAATATTATACAATTTAACTATTATTCATAAACTCAAATATAAAAATATTATACGATTTCTTAAATATATAAAGCCTGGGCAAAAATTGAAAATAAAAATGTGATGTTTATGTTAAGAGAATTTCAATAATCAAATTATAATAAGGTTTATATAATGATTGTGCCTGCGCGACGCGGGCAGATACCTAGTCTTCTTATTATTAACATTACAATTAGTATCTATTCTATTAAAACAGAAATATATTTCTGTATCCAAACAGGTTTTATTTAGTTTTTTACTATTCTGTTTTTGGATAACTCTTATTTATGTTACCAAAGAAGCCAATTTAATGTAATGTTAATAAAATAATATATTTTAAATATTTATTTAAAAATAAATTCGAAATTTTAAATTTAAATTTGAATTTGTTATAGATTTCTTTAAATATAAGTTATATTATTTATCAAAAATTATAAAATAAAACATTATTATATATTTACAAAAATAACAAATTGGATATTAGTTTAATTTTAATTTAAATATTCAAATTTAATAATATTTTTAATGACAACGATAAAGAAGATATTATTGTATATTTTTATTAAATAAATCTAAAATTTTCGTATTTAAACTTAAAAAATATAAAAAATATATAAATAATATGAATAGACAAGTTATAATTATGGTTTAATAATCACGGTCTTTTTTGGATTAATATAAATGGACATGCATGTTACAATGACCATTTTCTAATCGTTGTACTTTCGAATTAATATGAACGAACGAGATAGAATAATATTTTTCTATATATATTAAAAAAATATATTAATAGAACTAAATTATATATAAACAGAAAAAATATATAACTTATTAAAATATGATATTTAAACAAAAAAATAGAAATTATACTACAAAATTTGATAAATTATAAATATTTCCTGTGCGGATGCACGGATAAAATCGAGTTAAGTATAAAAATACAAAACTTAGAGCATATATATGAGTATATGACGTACTGTATATATACATGTGATAAATCATAATAAGAAAAGGTCGATAGTAACGCAGCTTGAGCAAATTAGGGTTTTCACTTTTGACCAAAGATGGAGCAACAAGAAGAGAAGAAGAGAAAAGACTACAAAGGAAGAAGAAGACAATCAAAATCAACTTTGTCTCTTCCTCTCGATATAACCTCAGAGATACTCTTACGTCTGCCTGAGAAATCTGTAGGGAGGTTTCTTTGCGAGTCGAAGCTTTGGTCATCAATCACCACCGATCCATATTTCATCAACTTGTTCGAAACTCAGTTGCCTCCACATCCAAGTCTTCTACTCTGCTTCATAAAAGATGGCAACTTGTTTGTTTCCTCGATTCCCCAGCATACACTTCATCAGAATTCAAACAAGTCTTACTCTTCTTCTCAGCCAATATTTGATCGTTATCCTTTGGAATTCCCAGAAGAATATAGTTACTTACCCCCTACGGAATCTGTCCACGGCTTGATCTGCTTTCCAGGATCAGGAAAGCCGATAGTTTGGAACCCTAGAAAGAGACAGGTCTCAACTTTTCCCAAACCAAGACTAACCTGGAAAACTAGAGAAATATTTTTGGGATATGATCCAATCGAAAGTAAATACAAACTAATGTGCGTTCCTTCAAGAAGAAGTAGCGACGTGTGCCAAGTTTTAACATTGGGATCAGCTCAAAAATCATGGAGAACTGTCAAAACTAACCATAAGCATCGTTCTAGTTTTCGTAATTCAGGGCGATGCATTGACGGGGTTATATATTATATAACCCATATTTATAGGACGATTGCTTGGGTTATAATGAGCTTTGATGTCAGATTTGAAAATTTTGGTAAGATAGATTTACCATCCGATATTCATAGGGATATGCTTATAAATTATGGGGGAAGGTTCGCTTGTGTTGATAAAACATGGTGGAAAAACACACTCTGGATTTTGAAGGATGCAGAAAAACACAAGTGGTCAAGTAAAGACTTTTTTTCACCTATTAATATCTAGAGCTTCTTGGCAAATAGGGTAGTTTTAAGCTTTTAATTGGCCAAAATGGTGTGTATTTGGTTTCACGTGTGTTTTTGGTATTTTTTGAACAATAACATTTTTGAAAGGCAGAAAAGCCCTTATTAGGAGGAAAAGAGTATGGGAGAACGTGAGGGAAAGTGAAAGAGAGTGAAAGAGAGTGGGGAGAGAGTGGAAGAGAGCGTGAGAGAGAGTGTGAGAAATTTAAATATTATTATTTTCTCTTTTTTCTTTTTTATTTTTTCCTTTGAATCAATTATTGTAAATTATTCATAATAATAAAATATTTAATAATTTATATATATATATTAAAAATATAAAAATCTTTTTTAATACATACAGAAATTTGAATTTTTTAAAACAGACAATATTTGATTTTTTTGCAGTATACATAAAAATTTGAAAATATTCACCATTTGATGTACAACTATTAAGTATTCATTTAACGGTATTCATGTGAAAGTATTCATCCCTAGATATTCATGATTTGGTGTTCATTCATTTGGTGTACACGTAAAGGTATTCACTAATTGGTGTACATGTAAAAGTATTCACAATTTGGTGTACACCAGTGTACACATAAAGGTGTACACCAGTGTACACATAAAGGTATTCACCAGTATTCACGATTTGATATTCATTCATTTGATGTACACATAAAAATATTCACCATTTGGTGTACACTTGAAGATATTCACTTAACGGTATTCACCATTTATTTGGTGTACAACTATTAAATATTCACAATTCAGTGTACAACTATTAAGTATTCACAATTCAGTCTACAACTGGATACCTTCAATTGAATACCATGTCTAATGTATATAACTGAGGTATAGTGTCTTAAATGTTTGCAGTTTATAGAATAGATTTTGATTTTTGTTTTTCAAAAAATCATTTTTTTATCCAATCATGATTTTGACAAAATTGATTCCTATTTTTTAGGAAAACTAGTTTTAAAAATAAATTTCAATTTTTAAACAAAAACTATGGCCATGAATGTTTGCATGGGTTTTAGTTTTTGGTTTCTGGTTTTTAACTTTTGATTTTTGATTTTTGAATTTTGGTTTTTAAAATTTTGGTTTTTGATTTTTCTGTAGATTTTTGTTTTCTGATTTTCTTATCAATAATTGTTTTTTAAACGTTTCTATGCTTTTTAATTTTAATTTAATTTTACGTGTTTAAAATTTACAAAATTAAATAAATAAATTGAAGTTTCAAAACCATATATTTTTCTAAGAAAAATAACTGAAAAATATAATAAATAATCAAAACTATAAAATTATAGATCTTTTCTAGAGTGAAAGTTATATATAAAAATGTACATAGAGGTTATTTTAGAAATGAGATTTTGTTTTGCTTATACGTTTTTTATTTTAAAAATATAGTTTTTTCTCGTAATTACTTATTGAAAAAACTAGCAGTATTTAAAAAAAAATAAAGTAAATAACAAAAACTTACGAAACTTCTTTGAAAAATCCGTATAGGGTGATTTTTGGTTTTTGTTTAGAAAAAAATAAAAAATCTGAAAAACTAGTTTTCTTATAATTTAAGAAATCTATTTTTTTCAAAAACTTGACTGGTTAATAAAATGATTTTTTGAAAAACGAAAACTAAAATCTGTTAAAAAAACTGCAAACAATTAAGGCTTAAATCTACTTTTTAGGAGTTTTATGTCAAGATTTTTTTTTGTCTAACACTATCCTATCCTATCTACCATTCAAGTTTTTCTAATTTCAAAAGGTGTAGAAAAAAAATCTATGAATTTTTTAAATATATACTATTATATATTTTCTTATTTAAAATAATATATAAGAGTAAATGATTTAAAAGAAAAAGAAGAAATAAAAAAGAAAAAAGAGAGAATAATATTTTTTAATTAAGCTCTGTTTTTTTTCTCTCACGCTATCTCTTTCTTCTTCTCTTCTTCCTTTTGTTTTCTCTCTCTTCATTTATTTTATTAATACTTAATTTATCATAATGACATAGAAATGTAAATAAACTGAACTTAGGAGGATAATATAGATATTAACACATAAAAACTATCCAAACACATCCACTTTTTCAAAACATGCCTTTTTGGCAAATTAAAAACTTAAAATTACACTTTTGGCCAATTTTCTCTAATATCTATGATAATAGTTTGACAACAAATTTTAGTCTAAAAGGTTTCACTGATGCTGGTGAGATTATTTATGCACCGTCCGATCAGCAACAATTGTAGAAGATTCGAATTTAAAGGAGTGGCAGACGACGATAATGAGACTTTGCTCAATATTGGACTTCATATGCGACGTACGTGTGAGCTCTATGCTTTCCCGAATCACATTTGAGATGTCAAAATGTCTTTATATATAACAGTTTGTTGGGTTTTTTTTATATATTATTATTTTTTTTACTTAGCATGATCAAACTTAATTGATGCAACTTTACGGGGTTGTTTTTAACTTTCTCATTCTTTACTTTGATTCTGTCCCTTTTGATTACCATTTACCAGTTCTTTGTAAAATTAAAAACCTCTAAAAAAATGAAGAGGCTCCTTGCTCATGTGCAAGAACATTATATCAACTTTAAGGTAATAACTAGATTCTGTAGTTTTCGTTATTTTCTGTAGTTTTGATTGCTCCTCTTTCTTTGTTATATCTCTGTATTCTGTAAAAAATCGAAAATGGTATAAAATTTAACCTTTTATCAAAAAAAAAGGTAATAACTAGATTCTAACTTTTACGTCTGTATGAGAATTTTTTGTTTTTTTTAAACTTCTAATATAATTTGTATTTATTTTTTTTGTTTAAATATAATTCATTTTGGTTATAATTTTTTTCAAATCAAAAATTTTGTTATCATGTTTTAACTTTAAAGAGTTTTTTCACATATAACCCATAAATTGAAGTCAAATACAAATCTAACCTCTTTTTTCTCCCTCTTCAATATTAGCCAATTTCTCCCCACTATCTCCCTAAAGCCACATATAATAACGTAAATGCCATTATGTTTATAATTATCGATTTTTTAAGGAAATTTGAAAAAGACATAATCATCCTAAGATATATCAAGTATTCACGAAAATGCCATCATCTTCAATTTCGCCAACTACCATTACCAACCAAAATTGAAGCTCTTAATGCTTGCCCATCCGCATTTGAAGCTCTAAATGCTTATTTGGCCGCTCAAAACTTCATTCTATCTTCAAATTTCTCTCCAGTTTCATCTAAAAAATCTCTTTCTTTGTCGACATTGATATGTTTTAATTCGCAAATCATCTATTTTGTAAGATTCTTGGATAACCGAGTTCTGGGCTGGTTTGCTTTCGGTGCATTTCAAAAATTCTGAACTTCTGTCAAAGTTAATCGAGTTCAAATTGGAAGGAGGTAGACATCTAATTCTTTTGTTTAACATTGGGCTATGTTTCGCGAAAGTAGACTTCTTTTACAGTCTGTTAGTCAACGTAAAAGGTTAGATTTGCAATTGACATTTTGGTATTTTTTTGAAAGTAGACTTCTTTGTAAGTCTGCGAATTTTCATTTGAATACAAAAAAAAACAACGTGTAGACTTCTATTTCAGTTTGCGGAAAACAAGGATAGTTTTGCATTTGACTGGAAAATATTATACTTTGACTTTTTCTGCAGACTTCGTTGAGACGTCTGAGAAAGAGAAGTTTGACCTGAAAGGTTATTTTTGCATTTGACCAAGATGTTGACCACCTTTGACTGTTCCAGCAGACTTAAAGAAGTCTGCTACGAATTAAATTTATTTTAAATTTATTTTGACTGTTTGCATTTTGAAGTCTGCTACGAAAGTCAAACATTTGGTCAATTGCAGAAATAACATGCAGCAGACTTCGATTATAGTGTAGACTTCTTCAGCTGACTTCACAACAACAGAAGACTTCTTGCCTCTTACAGCAGACTTCAAAAGAAGTCTGCTGTAAAAGTCAAACGTTTGGTCAATTGCAGAAATAACCTTTTTCTTATGTAGACTTTATATAGAAGTCTGCTATCAATTGCAAAAGTAACCCTGTCTTTTTGGAAGACTTCTTCGTGAAATATACCTGGTGGAGTTTTGCTGGAAGTCTGCATTTTTTTCATTTTTAAAAAGCATTTTTTAAAAAACTTTTGTGTGATGAATATTTTTTTTAATTTTTATTCTTGTTGTCTAGGTATATTTCCTTCACCTGTATTAATTTGGTATGCTTATGTGTTATACATTAATAGTTATGATTTTTATAGATTTGAAAGGTAATAAGCACATATCAGCCAGCTATGCAGTCTGCCAATGAAGTCTACTTGGCGAAGGAGAATAACACAGCAGACTACACTTGAAGTCTGCCTAATTATTTTAACAAAAAATTTGTTTTTGAATTAATGGTATATGTTAAAATAAATTTCTTGTTTGGACATGTTGATTTGCTTTTTTTGTTACATATACGTGAGTTTCAAGTTGATATGTGTTATAATTACAAAGTGATGAATTTTCTTGAATGTTTAGACTTTTAGCCGATTATAGCAGACTTCTTTACTTATGTGGTTTACCTTTTTTGCAGATGCCGGCTCAGTTGCCTGTTTTATTTGGAGAATGGGTTATGGGTGCTCAGTCATGGCATTTTGTGGTGGATAATCACAAAGGAGGGAGGTTGTTCTTCTTGAATGATGGTTGTACACATGGAGAACTCGTAGCTATGGCTCTAGATGATTACATGCTGAATGGAAAAACGGACAGCGTGTCTATCACTTATGCATTGCCAGATTCAATGTTAGCAAACATGGCTCCAGATATCCCTCTTATGCATATTACAAATGATAGACAAGTACAGAGCTTGATTGGGTTGAGTAAGACGCATGTTATACGTCTTTGTGTATCTAGTCGCAAGGACCATGATGGACGTACTGGTGGTCTTGATGCTGCTGATGGATGTTCTGTTGAAGGTGGGAATCAAACTACAGAGGAAGGTGAAGATGAAAATGTTGATGAGTATGATGAT